GTTGCGTGCGTGTATGCGTGTCAGAGCTCAGATTAGCAGAACTTGCACATCCTGCCCCTCAATGAATTCACTGAATAGAACATAGATGTCTTGTCACATCGCAGTGCTGGTTGCTTCATAATAATTATCTTTCATTTGTAGGTTATCCAGCCTGCCCAAGTAAGGATCTGACGAGATTATTAGCGTCATACGATAGAGTGTTTGGATTTATTTCAAAATATGTTGCATTTTAAGCAATCTAAACGACTTACATGGAAAAACTATGCACAAAATAATAAAGATGTCAAATTTTACAAAGTAGAACTTCCATATGCAATCGCGTATGCCAGAGTGCGCCATTACTTACCATGCTCCTTCCTCCATCTTGAATTTGTGTCTTGAGCTCTTGAATATTATGTTCTACTGTTACTTAGATTTTTCCCTGCGCGTTAACATAGACAGCGTTCCATTTTAGGCTCTGATGTAAGTTGAAGTTCTTCTTCTCTCGCAAAAAAGATCCTTACCGAGTGGAAGGTAATTGCTCAACAAGGTCGTTTCGCTCAGCTTCGACTTTTCTCAAGCGGTCTGACAACTGCTAAAGTGTCCCGAAAGTCGGACAGTGTCTCCCTGCTCTATCTGTAGTCGTTTTTTAACGTTTTTAAGTTTACAAAAAGCTTCATACGTAACTGCGCAGGCTTCATCTCCTTCGGCCTTTGCCTCTTTTGCACAGAATTGAGCTCGTCTCATCCGCATTTTAAATTCCTTGTTCTGCTTAGAAAGATGTTCCATTTCTCTTTTTAGAGATCGAGTCTGCGATTCAGACACATGTTTTTCCAGCGTGATCTTTCGCGGAAACCAAGTCATCAGCTTCCAGCCGTTTTTTTTTCAACAATTTCGTTTTGCTAGTGTAACTCCTACAATTCCTTAACCGGATTTAAGGAACGTATCTTCGTATCTCGAGCCTGCTACCGCGGTCCGCGGTACATCACGGTCAGACATTGCTCTGACTCCCAGATCAGTAATTTACTGCTAATCAATAATGGTGTCACTGTTAAGGATACCTCTTCTGATGATGGCTTGTGAAACAAGATAAAAACACATTTTTCGGTACTGTGACTCGCCTTCCAGTCACCGTTGAGTTTACAGTATCCGGTGAAGCTCAGCAAGGCTGTGGAAGGGCTAAATTCTCCAGTGCTCGACAATACAGAAAAGGAATGCAAGATTCAGCGCTCATTTCAAGGAAATATCACAACTAAACTGAATATTCTGCTTTTATTGTTTCTGTGCCAGGTTATAGCAAGAAATGCTGCCATTTGGCAAATTGAACTGGTCACCTAGCCGTTGTGCTGCTAAAATCTGCTAAAAAATGTCCAATGTGCTGTATCGAGCATGGGAAACAAATAACAAACTATCGCTAAAAATTTCTCATTCCATTTAATAGACCACAACGAATTTCTTTAGCATAGCAATACAGTACTAAACCAAATGTAAATTCGCAGTACCGTCGACTGTGGCAATACCATTACCATTAGTCTCTTTTTTGACTTAAAAGTATCAGTTCGAATGTGAAAGATCCGCTACGCCCTCTGAACCAACCAAATCCCACAATAAACGGGAAACACCGACTTCTCTTCATGGGATAACATCTGATAGGATATATGTCGGCCTGAAAATATATACCCGAACTACTATCAAGAACTAGGAGCATGACTACTCGCAACATTAGTTAGCCACCAAACCAACTATTCTACCTTTACCCAAGTTTTTTTTCCTAGTCCATCAGAGTGCCGCATAAGTTGGCGAAACACCCCTGCTTTACAGCAACAATGTCCATTGCAATTCTATGATTTGGTGATAAAACATACTTAAAGAGAAAAAATTCTGAGAAGAATAATACCCTTTGCCGTAGAAAAATTCATACTCGCTGACTGAATTTTAAACTGACGTGAAAATCACTACACCTCTAGAACATGAATGGAGTCCTTTGATTCTGATTGTACGGAGGCCACGGTGTACTACAATAACGAAAGGGCAAACCGCTTCGCCTTCGCTAGGACTAGCAAGAAAGAACACAGCTGACCCTATCACACTGTGCTCAAACTCGTCTTCCTATTCTGTTTTCCCCGAGGATTTAATGTAATCTCACTTTCAAGTTCTTGCCCTCTGATTTAATCTTACCTGATAGCTGATGCTTGAATGGCCCGTCCTCATTAGTTGTGCGGAGTCCAGCATAATATCCATTTTTCAGAGATTTGCTGGTTAAGCCACTGTTGTTCTCTGGAATTCCGAGGATAGCCTCGCCAAAGTCTGCCCCAGGTCGTCACCACGGCAGGCAGTCCCCACCTTTGTGGATCAGAAGTTAATTTGCCACCATGCGACCTTGATACCAGGACGGTGGTGGATCCTGACATTGGTTTGCTATTAGCTAGGCTTACTGATGGAAACGCTGGACTCTTTCTTAGCTTGGGAAACCCTGCTGGGAGAAAAATCCCCCGCTGTACATCGCAGTCCGACACCCAGGAAAACCTCCCAGCCACGATGAGGCGGTAAACGGTTGGGAGGCTGATTTAATCTAAACGTAGAAAAATGAACAATCTCACAAGCAAAATCCGTAGAATTACGGGGTATATATGTGGTACAAATTGAAAAAAAAAACATCTATTGTCTGTATTGTTTTAAGAAATGAGTTTGATATATTTGAAAGCCAATTTCTAAGAAATTGACCCATCTAGAAAGTACCACAAATATACTGTAGGGTTATAGCAACGTTAGAGTTACGCGACGGTTTCTACTGCTGTGAAAAAAAGGGTAATTTCACAAATTCACTGAATTGAAGTGTTATGGTAAGATAAAAAGACCTCAATGCAATAGCAAGATGCAGAACGAAAAATATACGGTAGTGGTCAGAGAAGCTCTGTCACATACATGTTGTCGTCGATTCTGTCTTGCGTATAAGGCAAATTTCTTCTTCCGAAGACTGAAAACTGCTACAAAAATTGCCATGGACGACGAAAACACTGGTATGAGGCACATCGGTAGTTCCCCGCAAGCCATTGTGTAGAACGAATTTTACGATGCTAAATGGGGCCAGGTGGATGAGGCACGGAATCAACATTGACGACGAAATCTTTCTCTTTTATGATTAAGGATCATTCAAGTGCTACAATAAAAACGAGGTCCAAGTATACTAATAGAGATAGTAGTCAATAAACTATTGTACAAAATAGTACAGGTGCTATCTCGCTGCAGATCTTCGCCAAAGGCTGAGGATTTCACAAACTACCTTGATCGTGTGTCATAATGATACTTTCTACGCGACTAACGATTACCCGATATTTGCCTTCATGAATATAATGTCTGAGTAGGATTCGTCAGCAATTACAAAGATTCTCGTAGCTGAACGACTATTTGCAATCAATGTTTATTATCGAGTCATATATTTAGTTCTATACTTCTTCTTTCCACTTTCACTCATGTTTGCTTGTAAGGGAGCACAGACTCACTCAGCGCCCCTTCTTCTATAGCGGTTTCATAATGCGACGTCTTAAACTACGAAACATATCTTAATCAGCTGACAAATTAAGGATACGAAGCGGAAGTCAGAAAGAATATTTCTACTCAAGAAAACAAAGTGGTTCCTTCATGGTAGCATCGGAAGGCCACATCGTCCTATTTCTTTCTGTCCTTATTTGACAACATATCTACTTTTTTGTGTGGCGCGAGGTAGCAAAGCGGTCAGCAATGTCGTCGATCATGAAGCAGTGTCACTAGTTCGACCCCCTCTTCAACGCTATCCTACCCACGTGGGAATGCCTTAGCACAGTTATCTCCACGATTTCAAAGAGAATTAACTTGATCAGAATTTTACGACATTCATCAAGAGGACGAAATCCACAAGAAACAGCCAAAGCAACATGCAAAATGTCCGAAGACCTTCGTGGATTATAAGTGTGAGGAAACGGATCGAACACAAGAAGTGTTGCGATTTGATAAGGAATAGATGGAAAAGCTATATTTTCGTGGTGCAGTTCTGATAACATTCAGTTCGCTCCTTGATCGACGACTGCTAATCGGATTGCATTCGTTCCAGCGCTGACAAACGCTTTTTCCGTAGGCGAGAAAGCCGCCGGTTACATTATTAGTTCCTGCAGCTGTACCTCTACTGTTTTAAGGTCTTCGACAAGCAGCTAATAATCTTCTATCGTTTTTTCATTTGCCTGTCAGTCGTACAAGAAGACGATTACCTTAAAAATGTTCCCGCCATACACTACTACTCTTGTTTTCCTCAGCCCCCACTGCGGATCGCTGTCACACAATCGGAAACACCACCTATCCACGATAGGGTGAATCTTTGAGAGGTTTGACAACATGATCCTTGGAAAAAGTGTCACCGATATCAATTTGAAATAAAAGACTAGTCACCTGAGCACGCCACGCAGAACTAAAAAACTTTTAACACTAGGACTAAAGTCATCGAAGAAAACCACATAATAACCAAAACGACTCACCATAATTTGCAAATTTGTTTCAACGACAGTTTACTTAAAAAGTGTTATGCTGAATACAATCTATTTTAACATGACAAAGATATAGATAGGTTTATAGCACGGAGTAATACGACTTCGCACTTGAGTATAATAACAGCAATATACAATATACGGATATTCAAATATATGCAAGCATGTACATTGTCGTAAGAACTGCTATGATGTGATTTATTAAATGAGATGAGACACGTACTCGACTTTGAGTGAACAGCAAAAGTGCGTAAAGCTGCACCATCGGAAGATTACAATTGGAAGACAAACCAAAACAATCACAAGAACGCAGAAAAAGTTATTGGAAAAAAATGCAGGTTAACAAATCAGGAATAACAAGATGTTAAGTGAAAATGCAGCACAGAGTCAAATAAATGTTAAAGTAGGAGTGAGAAATAGTTAGAGGTATTCTTAAAAATGAACGACTACTGAACCGATATTTACAATTGACGCCAGCTTGTAAGGGCCGAAGTAAAAAAGAGATTAACATGCCTTCAATGTCGAAGAAGTCGATGAGCTGATTGGTAAAGTAGCAGCCGCTCGTGGAGGTGTTGATGGTGACTCATTCAACTCAGAAAGTTTCTTTTGAAGTTCTACCTCTTCACACAGCACCTTTTCAACATCACTACAATAACAAAAAGAAAACATCATATTACATATAGATATCGATGGGTTTCTTAGCAATGACATTAATATAATTTAATTCCTATCCAAAAATCTAGACAACTTAGCGCAGAGCACAATCGCATCAAGAAAATTCCCAAAGGTCTCATTTGACGATCCTTCTAACCCACCATAACAGTCTGAACACTCCAAAGCGCAAACCATAGTACAGAATTAGTTCACGCTATCATTTTCAACACCAACAAATTCTGAAGTACAGAAATGGTCGCTGTTTTTATTGACCACCATACTAAACATCCAACTCAGAACGGATTCTGGTTATGCACCTTTGCATTCATGCGCATTTAAAATATGACTGATAATGAGACGGATTGATTAAGGAGGTGAAGGGGAAAAAGCAAGAGAAATGCTACTTACCTCGTCGTTTTATTAATCGCCTCTTTCGTTGCTTCAATAGCAGCACGTAATTTATGTGACTTCTTCAACTGCTTCTGATACTGCTGTGGCCAATCCGATTCTTTGATTGGCGTCAAAATATTTCGAAGATTCTCCTGAAATTACAAAATACGAAACGTAAGCGAAGAGGAGAGGAGAGAAACGAAGAGAGGAGAAGAGAAGAGAAGAGATATAGAAATATACCGCTCGTATTATTCATAATGTTACGCTTTTGTTTTCTACATATTATAATTTTTCGCGGCAGAATATCACGTTAGATACAACCATTACGATGCTGAGATATTCGCAAAACTTGGATCCCGAGCCACATAGAACCACGATTACTTTTTCTGGTGACTTTTCTGGTACCACACATTGCACCACAGAGGCCTTGGCCCCTATGCCCGGCCGTGAAGGTTATAGTAGGTAGAAAATAAAGAGTTGACATGGTGATTTCGACTATAGCCACAGTTTAAATGGGTTCAATGCCAATTTCTGCTCCCCACACCAATCCTGCAGACGGGTGATGTAATTGCTGATAGCAGCGTCAGATAGAAAACTATCTGAGAGAAACGCAGAGCAAAAGCATCCGTGATGCAGTGTGTAATACACGAGCCCCTAGAAAGGGTAATCGTGGATAGATCTGACCCGGCATCCACGTTTTGCGAATATCTCAGCATCATTGTGGTCGTATTACTCATACTTATCTCCAACGAATCTCCCTCACATGAGGGTCCCGATACCCCGTTAGTCCCGCTGTTGAGTGGTGCGTTCCCAGGTGGCGGATAGAGGGTTAACCGCGGACCAAAAGCGACCTCTCCTTCCCTGAGACGCAGATGGATCCAGGTGATGGACAACCTGCTTCTGCTGCGCCGATTTGGCACATACTTTCTGTATTTGCGAGGCGAATTCATGCACGCGTGTGTGAGTGCGTTCTAGTTTTTGCGGACTGTATTCTACAAGTCAATTTGGCCAAAAACCTGCAATCAAGTGACACGGAAGGCGGTTAGGAGCCGCCATCAACAAATAAGCTCCATGTCCACTCTGCAAGAGCCTGGCAAGCTACCCGTGAGAATATCCATCTCTCACGTTCACAGCCCAGCAAGCTATACGTGAGTATCAAAAAGCTAAACGCAGTAAAAGAAACGATCCTCATTCCCCTGATCCCGAAACAGCCCCCAATTTCGCAGCGTTGGATAAGACGAGTACGGAGAGGCTGCTAAAATATCAGGGTCAATGGAAGACGCCTGGATCGCGAAGAACTATGGCGACCATCTGTACCTACAATGCACGTACACCTGCATCCGAGTCCTCGGTAGAAGATTTCCTCATGCAAGCAAGAAGAATAAAGTACGACGACATCGGCCTGGCGGAGACGAGGAGACGCCAGCATTTCAACACCGTCTATGACACCGGAGAAGAACTGTTCCTCGCAACATGCGACAGTAGAGGAGTTGGCGTTCTCGTCAACACGAGTTTGTCTATGAACATTGATTCATTCGAGCAACTAACAACGCGAATCCTACGTTTACGATTAAGAAGACGCGGATCAATTCCGGCTTTGACAATCTTCGTCGTTTACGCGCCGAGATCAAACTATGACGAAGAAAAAGTCGAAGCGTTCTATGTGACCTTGGAGAAATTCTACAGAGAAGACCATGAATTCTTCAAGGTCATCATTGGAAATTTCAACGCCAAGACTGGATCAAGAAAAACGTCTGAAGAACGTCATATTGGGATTCACGGATTAGAATGGAAAGAACAGAGTCAGCAGCTCTCTGAGTTTATCATGATGACTAAAACCATCCATGGCAACTCGCACTTCCAGAAGCCTCCTCATCGCTGAATGTCCCATGGATGGAGAGTACCATAACGAAATAGCCTGCATCATAGTAAATAGAATGTTTGGCCTAACCGATGTAGCTATTGCCCCAAAATTCTACACGGCATCAAACCATCGTCTCCTTCGTGCAATATTCCGTTTCTCGCGAAAAGGAGAAAAAGCAGCCAAATTCCAAAAACCAAAGTCCCAGAACCACCGTAAACTGGGACTTATTCAATTCATTAGTCGGCTGCTGGGAAGATGCCGTTTTCGATAACATCGACGAAGAATACGATCGGCTCATTCAACATTTTGACGTTAGAGCTATGAAAGCTGAAAGTTCGAAAATCACCAAGAAACGTCTGTCTTCAAAAGCACTGAAGCTGATACGCCAGCGTTGAATCGCACGAGCTGCAGGCAACCGCGAACTAACGTGCGATTATGCAAAACAATGCAGACAGGCTATGAAAGAAAATCATAAAGATAGAAAAGCACCGAAGCTTCGCCAACTACAAGGATCTTACTACTGGGATCTTTTCAATAGCCACGTCCTGCTTCCCTCATATGAAATAAAGGAGACTGAATATGTCGCACCATAGCTCCTCCCTTCCGAAATCCGACACGGTATTTCGTCGGTGAAAAATTGAACAGCACCAGGTCCGGATAGGATAACATCAGAACACCTGAAGAACCTTCGGCCAGTCCTCGCAAACACACTGGCTCGGCTGTCCACAAGTTACCTGTCAGAATGCAAGGTCCCTACTCAGTGGAAGACCAGTAAGACCGTGTTATTGTTCAGGAAGGGTGACCTACACGACATCGGCAACTATCGCCCAATCTGCTTACTGTCTGTCGTCCAGAAACTTTTCACTCAAGTCATACTAAACAGGACTGATAGCTCATTGGACGAAGGACAGCCATATAAGCAAGGAGGGCTCCAAAAAGGATTCACTACAGTGCACCACATCCACACGACGAAGTTACTCATTGAAGTATCGCGAGAATACAAAAGACCGCTCTGTCTTGTCCCCCTCTTTTCAATTTGAAGAAGGCCTTGGATTCAAATGAGATAGAAGCAGTGATGGAAGCTCTTGATAGTCAAGGAGTCCCTACTCAGTACATAAAAATTCTTCGTGAGCTGTACAAAAATTTCACAACCAAGATATCACCATTCTTCAACGATATTAACAATGACGTCAAAACAAGAGTTAGGCAAGGCAATACCATCTCGTCAAAATTATTTACCGCCACCGTGCAGGACGTCATGCGAATATTAGAACGGGACAAGATGGGAGTGAAAATCGATGGTCGTCAATTACTCCATCTTCGCTTTGCTGATGACGTCGTCCTTATAACACCAAACATTAGCCAAGCGGATCCTATGTCGCCGACTTTGATAAAGCCGGTGGAAAGATTGGTCTTCGACTAAATCTCACAAAAACGATGTTCATGAGGAACGGATTGGTTTTGTATGTCCCATTCACGCTTAACGGAACGAATATCTGCAAATGCTCCACTTATGTCTATCTAGGTGGGAAGGGAAATCAATATGATGAATGACTTATCTCCAGAGCTGAGCAGAAGGAAAAGAGCGGCTTGGGAAGTTTTCAACAGTGATCGAAGATGTAGTGAAGAGGACAAAGAACACCCGACTACGTGCTCACGTTTTCGACTCAACGGTACTTCCTGCCCTAACGCATGCGTCAGAAACCTTTTCGATGAGTAAGCAGGACGAAAGACTACTCAGCGTTATCGAACGCGTGGTCTAAAGGAAGATGGTAGGCGTACCCCGTTTCACACGAGTAAGCGAAGCGATCCGAAACTCCACGAAAGACAACCAATGGACAACAGCCGTTAGTTACTGGATTCCTCGGGATGTCAAACATACTGCAGGAAGACCACCGATCCGATGATCAGAGTTCTTCACGAAGAGTCTAGAAGAGAGATATGATGAGTTCGTCGTTTTCTCTTTCAGCAGTCGCGAGGTTGTTAAGCAGCATACGTTTACTTCTATACAATAATACACAAACACTACAATGGTAGCTGACTTTTCGGAAGAATCGCCTTCAGAGCCTGGAAGGGTACACTAATACGAATACGCAACTTACTAGGTTAAACGCTTCAATAGCACAAACAGAAAGATGAAAATCAGCACGATAATTGCAATATCTACGGCCTGTCGAAAAAACCCACCGTTTTTTTCACCTGTCCAGAGAGAAGGAAGCGATTCTGCCGAAACGGCAACGAGTGTTCTGTATGTGTTATTGTTTGGAAGTAGTCGTATACTGCTTAAAAACATCGCGATTGCTGAGAGAGAAAACGACGAATTCATAATCTAATGCCGAGGTTGATAGAAAGTTGATCCTGGGTAATATTAAAAATACAATGTTAGATGAGTTCCTAGATCGAGCAAAACCTACTGGGCTACTCTTGCACGCGACAGGGAAAAACGGAAGAGTTACTGTCTCCCACTCGAGTCACTCGACGATCAAACGGACTACAGGTGATACAGATGAGAGGTAGGCATTTGTTCCAAGAAAGTCTGGTGAAACTGTGCCATCCTTCATCCAAAATTTGAACGGAATAAACGATCAATTAACAATGATTTCATATGGGGTAGACTGGATTACTGGTAGCAGATAACTGGGAAAAAGCATAACAATAACCCCAACCATTTTTCCAGTAATTATTCAAATAAATTTTACATAGTTGCTTTCATCGATGTTATTATTATTGCACATGTAAAAACCTTACCTAGTAGTTTCTGAGAAATTGAAGAAATTGTTTTCAAAAACGTTCATACGCAGGCATTCAACAAAGAAAAAACAACAGAATTAAAGTAGAAACAGATCGAAAAGTTGCTTTCAAGATTTCTGGAAGCAGAAAGAGAAATTCGATAACGTTAACTAACATGCTGACGCTGAAGTTGCAGCAATTCTCGATCAGCATCAGATGGTAAGTTCAATTCGGTGTTAAGAAGATTCTCTCTTTGTTTTTCGATCATCTGCCTTAACCAATTGCTCATTTCTTAAATTGTTTTCTCATCCACAATTTGTACATAAAAGAACCACTTCACAGAAACTGACCGTTGCTTCTCTATCAGAATACGCAAATCGTTATGACTCAATGACATTCTGGCAATTGAATTGTCCTCATCTTCAAAAGCCGGCAACGTCGAGTTAATAATTGCACCACGACCAATCGAGGAGAATTTTTGCTCCATAACAGCGTTGTAATCTGTAGATTTCAAACTTCAAATATGTTTACTAAAGAAAAAAACAACAACAAACGGGCCCATTATCTCGCGACAGATGCCATTGATAACTGACACTGAAAACATATCTCAACGAAAGGAGACTTGCCTGGTGGAGGTGGTCGGCTGCGGTCTCCAGAACTCGAAGCAAGAGGCGGTAGTGAAGTCGCGTTAACATCTTAAGAGATCATGGATAGTTTGTCAGTAACGAAATGACAACAACAATAGCCCATCCAAAGCGATGGTTTCAAAATAAGATAAAAGAGCACCTGGTGAAATAGATGAAGACGTACAACTATTGGAAGAACCTTGAAAACTCGTCAAAGAAGAGTTACAAAGGAAATCCATATCTCGCTCTGAAATAGTTCTATTAAACCCACTTAAGCATTTCAAGTCATTCATGCTCCAATAAAAAATGTGCAGGCAAACGATTACAAAATGTAGGACAGGTTCACTGTTTACACCTTCTCAGCTACTTTAGACCTAGCCACTAAAATATACTTGGGAACTAACTACACTCACCTTTTTCATCGACCTTCTTCAACACGAATGACACATTCGACCTGTGCTCCCGAAACTTTTCCAGCAATTCCATAGGCTTGTCGACTGGTGAAAGCCGACGTTCCTGGAAATACTGCTCACTTCAAACATTGAGTCAAATTGGATGGCGACTGTTACAAATGAAAAATGGAATGGTACCTTTTTTTTGAACTTCTCAATCATAACAAATCGTCCTTTTTGGCTGGTTGCATGAGCGAGAGCGTAGATGATTTGCGCACAGGTGGTTTCGTTTGAAACACCAGAAATACTGCGTTCAACACCATCCACATTTACTTTTAGTTCCATCTGAAATTCTTAAAACTTCTACGGAAATGTTTTCAAAGTAATCTGTCATACATACCCCCGAAGTTACCAAATAAACATCCATTAGCAAGAAGTGTTTTGTAAGGTTGAAAGAAATAACGAAAATTAACACGAAACGCGATTGAGATGTTTTACACAACACTTACTTGGACACGTGGATGGCCCATCCTCACCGGTTGTGCGAATCCCAGCATAATTTCCATTTTTTCGGAGTTTCGCTCGCTTAGCTATTGTGGTTCCCTGGAGTCCCGAGGACAGCTTAGCCAAAATCTGCCCGGGGTCGTCACCACCACAAGCAGTCGGCGCTGTTGTAGATCAGCGGGAGATTTGCCACTATGCAACTAATTTGATACCAGGACGGTGGTGGATCCTTGTACTGGTTCATTCTAAGCTGGGGTTCCACATGAAAACGCCAGACTCCTTCTCAGCTCAGGAGACCATGCCAGGTGATGAATCTCCTGCTATACATCGCAGTTCTCCCAGCCACGATGAAGCGGTAAACCGTTGGAAGGGTAATACGTAATAGGTTTCATTAATATGGAGACCAACCAAATAACACTTGTAAACAATGGAAAGTAAGTGAACAACTTATGAACAGATCTTAATACACAGAGAAAATAAGACCACGGTGCTCACTGCTACTGGACCAGCGAAATTTGGTGTAAAAACCAATGAGTCTAATCTATTAACTAACATGAAGCTGTGTCCACAATAACACTGTGAACACATGCAAAATCACGAAGTGAAATCGAGGTAAGAATTGTCTAGCGATCATAGATAGTAGTCAGACACCAACTGACCTCCAACGAAAGAAATTTGTGCGGTTGCGAAGGCGTCTCTCTTTGGTACACGCTTGCTTCTTTGGAATTATTAGAAGAGCTAAATGAACTATATGTATCTATTAAGTAACACGCTTTTTTTCGGTCAGTGACGAGCTTAAACGTGAAGTTTTACTAGCCGTCCTCAATATGTTTAATGCCAATAGTCATCTAATAGCTCACGCTTCCACTAATAAAACCTACAATCTTTACACATTTTGTTAGCACACCTACTCTGCAGACTTCGCTTGTTCGACGAACATCATCTGAAGTTCTTCGCTTTCAGTGCTTTGACAATAAACCAATTCGCTGTCAGATATCTGGGCTCTACAGTGGCATAAGTTCACACTTATTTAGACTTTGGGATGAAAATGTCGAACGCATTAGTTTGAAAAACGCTGTGATGCTCATCTTTTTGCTATGTATCGCATCTCAACTCAACACCGAAGAACATCAACACAGAAAGGCGATAAATCAATGGTAGTTCAATTGAACTAACGCGCTTTTCTTTGTTCCAACAGCTCATGAGAACCTTTCTTACGATTTCAACAAAGGAACCTGCAATCTCACTTATTTGGTACCGAAAATCAGTACCGAAAATATCATGAGCAATACATTCTTGACATCATAGTGGTAAATAATACTTACCTGGATACTTCGATGCTCCATCTTCAGTGGTTGAGCGGGCCCCAACATAATTCCCATTGTTTCAGTTATGCTGGTTTAGTCATTGTGATTTCCTCGAATCCAGAGGTCAGTCTGGCCAAGGTAAAGGAAAAAGTAATCCAAGCCAAGTGCTAATTAATAGGAAAAATTCTTGTAATGGTAAGCGAATATAAAGGCGAACAAATACGAAGGAGAAATCGTCTCACAGATGTGTTCAAACTTTCGATGCGTCTTATCTTCTAGCCGGTTGAAGTCTACCAAGTGGTAGAAGACTCTTGACCAAGCTATGGAACATTGCCTTATGAGCTGGATTGTCCCTGGAAATCACTGTATGGTTTAAAAACCTGATGTGCCCGAAACCTCCGGCTGATGCTACAAATTACACAGTAAAGAATATTGTGCAGTATAGAGTGTGGATTTTCTAAGAAAGCTTTCCACCACATTTGCGACCGTGGATTAGTCATCTTCCTTCTCAGATAGTGTGAAAAATCCTATCCTTTAAGAACATGATGACATTTCTACACTTTGAACGATTAAGTGAATTGATCTTTCCACAAACGAACCCTATAAATGCAACGTATGACAGGTTATGGTGATGAAATACTGCGATTAAGTAATGATATTCAAATAGAAACATGGAGATTTGTGACCAGTTTTGCTCTTGGTTTACAAAAAAATGCAGATACTTGAAGAAAGATTTACCTTACACCCACACCAGAGGAGGGCTTACGTGACACTTAACCAATTCAAATGTTGATCATAGGTCATACAGAACCCTTCTATGACGGGGGTCCTAAAACGAATCGCTCATCTCACCGACTGCACATCTTATAAGTTGTATGGTTGCCCATTTTGTAGGCGTTTCTTCGCAACAATACCGGATTTTGTGATATTTTTCCATTTTTGCTCTTTGGAATTCCCCATCAGCACCAGTTCGCTCGGTTATAAGCAAAAATGGTACCGCTTTTTCAAGGATCCATGTGAGAGTGTTATACTAAGGATTCACTAGGACGAGTTAACGGCATGCGATAGATGCGTATTGATTGAAATTTTAGGCCAATATTCTCTACAATGGTCGCTGATTGTTCTATTTATGGCGTGTACCGATAGTGTTATAGAGTGTTTCGTTCTTCCTATAAATTACTTTGTTCAGTCATGATCTTTGCCTGGTTCATCCGCATATTTCGTGCTGTTTTTATGATTTGTGTTGGCCGTAAGAATCCTACGCGACAGTCCGTCTGCGTCCTAGGGCTGTCGTTTTTGCTGCTTTATAGATTTAGATCATGGCCATCATTTGCCTCACATGAGAGCCTCTCCATTGTTCTACTGCTTAGGTCTTTCTTGTGTTGAGAAATTGTTACACTAATGTTAGAAAATTAGGGCTATGTTTTTCGACGTTCGATTTACACCTTCGCGACTCTGTAGGACATCTAAAGCGAATCGTAGGTCAGGTGATAAAGACAGTTAGCGGCAGATATATTTGAAAAAAGGTTAAGCGAAATTTTGGATGGAAGTGTTCATCGGCTGTTGATCAGCTGCACCTGTAGATTCACAATATTCGAGGACAAGAGACGAAATTCGCGAACATTAACACATACGAGACCATAGCTGTGGACGAATATTTTGTAATAACATTGGTTAAAAACTGTTTAAGCTGTCGTGTTTCTGAAGAACTACCAATCAGGTGTCTCTGTGCTTCTCTGCCACGACAATACTTAGTTATTTGTAGTTCTTATCATTCTGAATGGATGCAAAAGCATCTAGGATGTGTATATTGTTGTCGACGTTTCCACACCGGGAGTTAGCGAACGATATATTACGTAAGTCTGGACCTGTCGAGCTCTAAACTGATTTGCTGATGCAGGTAGATGGCTCTCATGAAAGCTTAGGATGGCTTTGCTATCACTCTCTGTCTACTTTTATTCCTTATCCGTCACCTTTCCATACTTTTTTTGTCTAATTACTGTCATATTCTATTTTTTACCATTATATCTTTCCTTGGTTACTTCTCGTATTCAACATTAGAAATTCTTCAACAACTAGGCTGCCGTTCATTTCTTCCTACTTTTGCAAGAAATCTAAACATTATAGTAGTACATAATAGTACAAATAGTTTTCTACATAATAGTAGAAAAGAACAAAGAAGTAACATTCCTTGACTTTAGCCCGGAATACGTAATATTGGCAAAAGATCTTCATGAGTTCACAATTATAATAGGCCATTAAAAGCACAGCTGTTGCTGGTTACAATTTTGTTGTTCCTCTTTATTTATATCATTACTATCAAATTTTTATGCCTGTGTTATCTACAAACTAACTTTTGTCTACTCATGTGTGCACAAAACGTTCTCACCCTAACATCACTACGACTGTGCTGCCATTGTCTTGCTTCATTGACGCAGCAGTCATCTGATCCTTTTTCGTATTTTTCTTATGTGAACGGGGAAAAAACTTATTACTACCTTAAAATCTGATTCTAAAGTTTCATTATTATAGTAAACTGGGGTTCCTTCACAATGTCATCCAAAGACTTACAGGAGAAGTTTCGTATATGTTTAAAGGAGAAGGCTATACAACAAGTAAGTAAAAGTATTTTTCATTATCGTGATTAATTTTATCAGTGATTCTACATAGGCAAAAAATTTTCAGGCGAAGTTAGATAAGTTAGATGAAGAGCTTGCCAAATCGGAAGAAGAATTTTATCGTGAAACTGCTGAAATCGGGAACATCTTTCAAGATGAGTTTATCCTTGAGTTTTTCCGAAGATGAAAATCTGCTGTCACATGTATCTTAGTCATTTTCCTTTCAATAATCTAAATTCCTTTTGTAAGCCACGTTGCTGAGATTACTATGCAGTCTTGAATAAATTGTTACACATAAATTCTCGAAGTCAGAGCTAATTCCACTCGACGTTCTTCGTAAGTATTTACCGATGAGTTGCAGTCACTTTGCAAAAAATTATTCAGCACAATTCTTTCTATAGTTACAATTTTTAGGCTTTAACCGGGAGGCACTAGCAAAACTTCTAGAAAAACCAAAAGAAGCTGTTGAGACACCATCTGCGCCATCTTCGAACGATGAGGTTGGGCCGTCTACAAGTAGACAAAATGGAAGCGGTGACGGATCGGCTGCTGGCCCTTCTCAGGATTCGACTAAAAGACGTAGAGCTCGCCGCAAAAGTCCTACGGCGAGAGAGCGTAATCGACATACTGTGTACGGACTGACTACAGGTGTTTTCATAAGACTGAAGGGAATTGTGAGTTAACATTTTACTTCACATAACATTGCGCTAAGTATGTCATTTTTCCAAGTTCAAATCTTTTTTCCTTTAGCCACCACACAAAACTCAGAGAAAGAAGAAGTGAACAGTGATGTTCCACCGTTACGACTGCTCGGCACTCTTTTATTCTGTTTCGCTTCCGCTGTTGCCTTTTTTGGAAATTGGCCTTTCTTGGACTTTGGTCTTGTTAACAAAGTGTCGTTTTTGAAGTGTTTCAT